CATATTCCAGAGGTCCATGGTTCGATTCCTGGCAAAGGCATTGCTCATTTTTCATCTTTCCTGTTTCCAAAAATATCTAATACCTCTACAAACTTTAATATTTTTGCTTTGTCTGTGAATTTTTCATTCACATTTCAGTTTTTCTTCGTAATGATTATTAATTATTTATAATAATAAATTAATTAATCTCTAATTATAAAAATCATTAAAATAATTTATTTAAGAAGCAGAAGAAAAGCTCCAAGAGATACACACATTGGTCAATGAATTAGAAACCTTTGAGATTTTCATCTGAATGCATGCTAGGGATGAAGTATGCAAATTTTTTTATGATGTGGGTTACACGTGTATAGAATGGTAATATAAGTAAGGTAGAGGTGTAAGAGTACTTTTCATGGTGAGTGAAGTAAAATGGGAAAAATGACCGATCTTTCACCATTTCATACCTGCCAACTTTTACAAATTTTTCATAATTTTTAGGAAAATGCATTTGTCTTTACAATTTTACGATAGTAATCCATTTTTTACGTTTTTTTTTCCTTTTTAAAGTGTTTTTAGTGATTTTTGTGGAAATTTTAGAATTTTTCGCCAATTCAGAGATTTTCGCCAATTGCATCGTGTTTTAGCGCCAACTATCGACTACTTCGAATCCAGTAACCTGCGGTTTCTCCCAACTCGCCGCTTAACCAGCCAATCCAATGCGCTGAACTTGTTTCTCCCACTCTTTTCTTTGTGGGCGCCAGATTATTTTTTCGCGTTCGCTTCAGCAGCAAGGGAATTACTCAGCTCGGACTCGGCGAGCGTGGATTGTTGCATTCTGTCTTTTTTTTTTCTTTTCTCCACACTTGCTACGAATTTTCTTAATACGTCGTTGTTACGAAATGAGTTCAAAAAAACCGTATTCTCAATATTTTCGGCCTGCCTACAAAGCCGAAGATAGACTTGATGTCCTCGTTGGTACCTTAAAAAGAATAAAAAGAGCTGATGGAACACCAAAATATGATAGACTAGCAAGAGTTTTATGTGCTATTCTCGTAATTCCACACAGTAATGCTGAGTGCGAGAGAGTCTTCAGTGTTGTGAAGAAAAACAAAACTATGTTTCGTTCTTCAATTTCACCAAAAACTCTAGAAAACATTTTAATTGCTAAATGTTATGAGGAAACTAATTGTTATGACAGGAAATTTTCTAAAGAATTTTTGGCTAAAGCCAAAAAATGCACTCTAAATTCATTGCAATAATTTTTTTGTGTAACATTAAGTTCTTGTTTTATGTTTCCTAATAAATTTTTTAGTTACTACTTAATTGAGATTTACTAATGTAAGTACAATTTTCTTTTTTCTATTTCTATAAATTGTTATTTTTTAATATCAAAGCATGATATTAATTCTTCGTGTTCTTCTGAATTTGGGGGAGAAATCTTCTGAATTTTTATCTTTAGAGGTTGGCAGGTATGCCATTTGAAAAAGAGCTTATTGTTGGTGCCTGTTTAGCAGGAGCGTCGATTTCGAAAACGGCAAAAAAGGCTTTTCAAAAGTTGGAATTAGAACCCTCAGTTCTTCTCCAGAAAAGATAACGGCGGTTCCAGCACACTTTTTCAAGAGAGTGATTGGCATTGTCTCCAATAAATTGTACGGCAGAACAGACTCTGCTGTGCTTTGACTGACACACATCGTCAACCAAGGCTTTTCTCAACAAATTTCAGCTCATACCATGAGCAAATAATTGCAGATGTTAGGAATGCATAGTCAGGTGCCTGTGAGAAAACCACTTATTTCTGACTGACATGCAAGAATTCATTTGCAGTGGTGTCTGGAAAGAACACATTGGACATTTGGGGATTAGAAACATGTAATGTGGTCAGATGAATCACGCTACACCTTATTTTGCAGGGATGGAAAACCTCGAATTTGGCGAGAACCTCAGGAAGCCATGAATCCATCTTGCCTTACTCGCACTGGGCAAGGGTCTGGTAGGGAGTATCATGATATGGGGCATGTTCTGCTGGCATGGAAGTGGTGTCCTGGTGTTCCTCGAGGGTAAACAAACAGTCATGAGATACCTAATACTGGCACATCAAGTGCACCTTGTAATGTTGCATTTTTACCCTGATGGCAATGGATACTTCATGAACAATAAATGCAATTATACATCTTGGCAGAAGTGTTCAAAATTGGGTTTGCTGTACATGAGTTTGACTTCCAGCACCTTCTCTGGCCACCACATAGCCAGGATTTTAACCCCATAGAAAATGTATGGGATATGATGGAAAGACACATCCGACAGCACTCTCCTTTATTGCATTTTAAGATTAAATATGCTAAAACTGAAGAAGAATCTTACTAAACGTTTTTCTAATCCATGCTTTTAATGCAATGTAAGTTATATGACAAAGTCAACAACAAATCGCTCAACTGAGCTTCTCAAAGTAGAAGTTGAAGTACATTCTGAGATGTTGTCAAACAAATATATGAAATAAAAAATTACAATACCTTGTTTTTTCTTTTGTATCATAAATAACTTCAACATCCTTTTCCATCTAATTTACAAGATCTAAAAAAACTGCATAGTCAATGCATGGTATTCTCTGGATGTAAAGGTACTCCAGAAGCATGTAGACTCAATGCCCAAACGAATCAGAGCAATTATATGTGCAACAGGTTGTCCAATAAAATATTGATCTTTGTTTCTAATTCATTGGCCAGTGTGTGTAATTCACTGGACTTTTTAATTCACTGTGAAGACAGACGACAAGGTGTGACACACACGCACAAGGAAAAAAAAAAAACCGAGACTAAGAGTGTAGCTTGAAAACATAATGGAGCTGGTAACAACTGCTTTGGTGACGTCAAGCCACACAGCTCCTCTCCCCATGTGGCAGGTTTCGACTTAACCAACCACGACAGCGGTGAGTACTGAATCATTGAGTGAACCCATGCAACTGCATTCTGCCAGAAAAATGTCTAATGTAAAAACCGAACAGCGAATCAGCATCAAGTTTCTTGTGAAACTTAAGAAATCAGCCATGGAGGACACATTTCAAATGTTAACCGAGGCTAGTGGAAATGAAACTTTGTCTCATGCACGTGTGTTTGGCATAAGTGGTTTTCAGGGGAAAAGGACACTGTGGAAGACGATGAGCGTGCTGGGCGCCCAAAGGGCTGCCCAGTATGTATATCATAATTGAATTGGTTCCCAGGGGTCAGACTCTTAATCAACTACTACATTGAATTACTAAAAAGTCTACATGAAAAAGTTAGGGAAAAAAAGGCCACAGTTGTAGTGTGATGGAAGGCTGTTGCACCAGGACAATGCACCCGGCCCTATCTGTAAAACAGTTTCTGACCAACAAAAACATTACTGTGTTGGGGCATCTTCCTTATTCAGATTTGGCTCCATGCAGCTGGGTTTTTTTTTTTTTTTTTTCCTAAAGTTAAATTTTACATAAAGGGAACCCATTTTACCTCAACTGAAGAGGTTCAGGCAAAAATGGAAAGTCTCCTGAAGGCCCTTCCAAAAACCTCGTTCTAGAGCTGCTACCAGCAATGGCATCACCAAATGCAGAAGTGTGTGAATGCTGAAGTGAACTACTTTAAAGGTTATAATGTCACGGAGAACAGATTCTGTAAGTACAATGATTTATTGGACCAGTCTCTCTCTCTCTCTTTTTTTTTTTTTTTTTTGTGTGTGTGTGTGACACCTTGTAAAAGTTCAAGTAATAATCTAAAAATAATTTGAAAATTAAATAAAAAGAAACTGATAGCATTTAAATAAGAGTGGAAAAAATATGCTTATAAGGATGTAAAGAGTTCTTCAATTAAATAGCCTCAGAATTTTTTTTGTGGAGGCAACCTGTAATTATTCTGTTATCTGAATCTGTGATGTCCTTCTGGGGGGGGGGACAATCTCTAGATTGTTCAGTTTGAGGTTTGTTTACGAAAACAAATGAAATGTTGAAATTTTGTTAGATATTATGAATTTTTTGGTGACAGTAAATTCTAGGCATTAATCCAAATTAAAAATTTTTGGTACTAAAAAAAGAAGTGGCATGCCAAATAAAATTCATATAAAAGCTGTAATGTAGAGTGCTTAGTTTTTTGCTAGATTTTCTGAAATGGGCAGTTTTCCTTTTACCAATAATTCCTGTAAATTTTCTGCAAAATCTTAAAACATTATGAAATTCAGAAACATTGTTTATATAGTTACAAATTAGATATTTTATGACAATAAAGTAGTCTTCAAGCGTTGTTGACTGAGGAAACTCATAAACTTATTTTGTCTGTTCAAGGAACCCATAACTTTTAAAATTTATTTTCTTCTTTTTTATGTTTGCGTAGAAATTTAACCATTCTCAGGAAAGTTAATGTTAAAAAAGCATTGAAAATATACTCAATGTTTTGTGCATTTTATCTGGAAAACGAAAAGAAAGCAATTCAATTTCATCACAGTTTTGTTGAATTCATATGTTGATTTTTCTTGCCATTTTAGATTGATAGTTCAACAAAAATAATATTGTTGTTTAAATGAAATCAGTAATCATATTTATGATGTATGTTTCATAATATATTTATGATGATACAACTTTTCATAACAGTTGCAAGAAATGAAAACTTGGCTTGTTTAATACTTTTGAGTAGTATTCTACATATAATACCAAGCTCTTTAGTAAGAAATCCTCTTTTACCACTCTTTTTTAATACTGCCATTTGTAAAATTTTTTATTAAAATTATCTGCTCAAAAGTCTGTTTATTGATAGTCCTCATGTGCTTTGCAGTAATCAAGTAAACATTAAAATATTTACCATAAATGCACGAATTATTTTAACTAGAGTCACATTATATTTAAAATTAATTTGTGAAGTTAGTTCATAAAAATATGTTATTCTGCAACTCATTAGTAATTTAAAATAAGAGTGGAATTGCAGGAGTGAAAATTTAATTTTTTTTTGGTTTAGTCTATCAATTTGAATTCTGATTTCTTATCAAAAATTTTATTTTAGTGGCTTCAACTTGAAGATACAAAATCAGGTTCTGTACATATTCAGTCAACTTGGTTAACATTAAGTGAAAATCCTGAAGACTTGAGTCAAGTAATAAATATATTCATATTTAAACAATATTTGAAATATAACTGAAGTTTGTTTTAAGTTCTTTAACGAGTCTTATTTTTGCATGTTTCAGCAATTGCAGGAAATTCGTAATTTTAATTCAAGAAATACTATGTATTCTGCAGTTTTACTTGTCTTTTTGGATAGTGCTAAGCATTTACCGGTAAGTGCATGTACTTTGGTAACTCTGAATTTATATTTTACATTTGCATTTATATTGAAGATAGGTATTACTTATAAAATGCATTAGGAAATTCATTAAGTATATTAATTTCCTGTCATTAAAATGCTTTTTCATGTATTTCAGAATGTTAACCGTGGAGCTGAAGAACCAAGTGCTCAAGTTCATTTCACTGTGACTGGTTTCAAAGAGTCTAGTGCCATCCGTCCTCATTCTAATGATCCTATTTGGGAGGAAGCATTTCGATTTCTTCTCCATAACCCCGAAATTCAAGATCTCACTGTTGAAGTAAGCTACCTATTTCTTTTCAAAGACATACTATTTTGAAAATGTGTTACATGCATGTACTTGATTATCAACTACTGTAAAGCTAGTCTCAGTCCATTCATGAAGTTCAGGTAAACAAGAAAATTACAGTTTTTTCCAGCTTCAAAGAACTTCATGCTTATGAAGAAATTTATTACCCCTGTTTCAACTATGATGCTCATTTTTATGTGAGCAAAATTTTGCACTGTGTATTAGTAATAGAGTATCAGTTTGAATGTATGTAATAAAAAGTTCAGTTCTTATATTGTTTGTTGTATATGAGATTTCATAATGGTGAAAGTATGGCATTATTGTAGTTAATCCCAGTAGTTTTTGGTGATTAAAAGAACATTTTCTTTGATTTCCAATAGTTGACCCATGCTCTCCCAAAACGTAAAAGATTAAGTAGTATGTAAAAAAAATAGAATTACTACCACCTGATTGGTATTTTCTTGGAGCACGGATTCTACTCAGGTGCCATAAAATCCGCGATTTTTCTGTTAACTGTTCTGCTTACATGTAAAACAAGCAGTATCCAGTTGCTTGTAATTTTTGGAAGGAAATTGGACCTTTTCAACTTTCACAGTGTCACACTTTTTGTAACATTCCACAGTTGGGTTGAAATTCAACTAGTTGGATGTCATTTCAGATATTCCTGATGGCATAGGTTATTACTGTGTGAAAGACACCATTTTGCATGTAGAGCTGAAGCATTGTTAGGAGTCCTGTAGAGAACAAAATTGGAAGTTCTGCTGAAATGTTATTACAGTCCTGAAAACAATGTAGAAATGAAACATGATGAGTAATTAAGGCTGTTATTCTTACTGCGACACTTGGCATACTTCTGTGGTTTCATGTAAAAGGCAATGAAATTTTGTGTAAGAAATCCTTCCCTCCTACAGTATCCTGCGTTTAGTGAAAAAAATAATATAAAGGAAGCATTTCCGAAACTTTTAGACACAGAAACTGATTTATCAAAATCTGCAGCTACTGGGAAATAGTGAAACTTAAAAATTCTGCATGTAGTTTCAGACAAATGAAGTTTTCACTTGCCAAGTGAACATATTTCATTTCCTTCACTGTGTTATTTTTAAAGAGATTTCATACATTTAGACATTAGTGTAAAAAGTGAAGTATAAAACTTTAAAGTTAGTGATTTGTTTGTTTAAAAACTGTATTTATATTTTTTTATGTGAATTGCAAAATATAATATGTGCTGCATATTAATTCTGAGGTAAAATATCCATTTAGCTAGCAATTCTTTTTTCTTCCTGCAAGAGCACTTTATTTCTAGATTTTAGACGTTCATATAAGGCAGTTGCAGAAGAAAATTGTTAGAAAGTTATGCATCACATAATCCTACTATTATTTTTGATTTAGTCTAAATACTTTGTTTTAGGTTTATGCATCACATAATCCTACTATTATTTTTGTTTTAATCTAAATGCTTTATTTTAGGTTACAGATACAAAGTCCAACAAGCCGATCGGTATGACAAGGATACATCTATGCCGACTCTTAAGAGAAAAGGGCATGCAAATAGAAGAGCCATTCCAACTACTTGGAGCCGGCCCAAATTCAAAAATTTTAATGACTTTGCAACTCAGGGTTGGTATTTAAGATGTAGAATCTGATAAATTCTCTAAATGTAATCCCATCTTTTTAAATTGTACAAATATGCTCTCTTTATTGAATGATAGTTTCAGTGTCATTCATTTTTTAATGTTTGCCTCACTGCAAGGTGTGTTAATATTTTTTGAAATAGCAAAGCAAGCCATTGAATATTAATTGATTATAATTACATAACTCATTAAATATGCTATGTTCTGTTCTGAAATTAAAGTCTTATTGCTTACATGTCAAATTGTCAGAGTTGCTCATCTTTTTAACCACTTTAACCACTCTGTAAATATTGTAATATTTAAATTTAAGAATTTTCCCGATTTAATTTGCAAATTGAGTTTGCTTATGAAGATTATAGAAAAATATTAACGCAATATTAAAATTGTCATTCTTTTCATACCTCTAATTTAGTACTTTTTTTGAGAAACATGCTGCTTTTTTTATTTTGAGCATATTATAGTACTGTGTGGTCCAACCTTTAGTTACCCAAGGGCCAATCAAACGTTAGTATAGGAGAGTGAGGGCCAAAGACATTAAAGAAAGAAAATGAATTACATATAAATCACTAGTTTAATGAATCATTTTATTTTACAGTCTAGAAATCAATGTGATGATTGGCACTGCTGTTTTGATACAAGTTTATCAATGTCCACTGTAATTTCAGTAAGGCAAAATCTCAGGCTCGATTCTGGTGAAGCACTTCCAATGCGATTTCTCGTTTTTGATATAATTTTGAGAGCAGAAGAAGCTTTTCCACACATATGTCCTGCCAAATATACATACTGCTGATTTACAAAGAGAATTTATGCAGTTTTGGAAAATGTTCTTCAGAAATCAGTTTCCAGAAATGTTCAGTGACATCACACTTTTTAATCTAGTAGAATGGATCTGCCTGAAGATTACAAATTTCCATTTGAAGGTGGCAAGGCACCTCACTTACTTCAGTCTCGGGTTGTTTAAAAATAAAAGTTTTGTTTTTAGGAAATCAAAATCCTGGAATCTGTCTTGGAACTCTCTCTTGGTAACAGAAATTATTTCACGAAACATACTAAAATTTGTGTTATTTTCTTCTTTCAGCTGCTGACAGAATGAGAAGTGTGCTGTAGTGTTTGCAAAAATTTTTGCAAAAGCCTTCAATATTGTCCATAAAGCTCGAATATATTTTGGTTTCTGCCTTGTAGTTTCTAGTTTAAAGTATTTAAATAGGTTGTTAAATCTGTCAGAAAAGCAAGATTATTTAAAAACTTGATTTCTTCCAATTTTTCTTGATACGTATGCCCAATGTTTTCTTTTTTGAGGAAAGCAAGAATTTTATTCCCCAACCCAAAAATACTGTTGTAGACAATTTCCAGTACTTAGCCAGCACACTTGACAGTACAATGAAAGGTCACCATACTCGGCATCCATATTGTCCATAAATGCAATAAATGCTCTGTGTCTGTGGGGTTTGCCTCCCATTATAAATTTACAATATTTACAATAGTTTTCATTGTCCAAGCTTTATAATTTTTATTATTCAATTATTATATCTAATATAATTATTTATCTTTGTTATTTAAAGCAGTAAGATGGGTCTTTTGTTTTTACAAATGTTTAACTAACATTTTTTCGACTACAGAAGGGCAAGTGCCAACAAAATGAATAAGAGAGCCACATGGACCATGCTGTATAGTAGAATTGCATTTTGGTGTGTTGTTTACTGTGATACTTATTGTTTTTGTAAAGTTAGTTCACAATGATCATTCTCAGCTCTTTTTATGCTGCTTTAAAAAAGGGAGCGAGTTGTGAAGTGTAGTCTTCTGAGACAAATTATGTTAAACACTGGGGTGTGGAAAGTTATAAGCTGCTAAGTTATTGAGCAAGTATTTAGTATAATAATAAGGTTTATTTGAGCAGTATGGCTAGAAAGTAGTTTACGAATGTGAATAAAAGATAATTAAAACAACTATACAAATGATTAAATTTTTTTTTTTTTTTTTTGCCTGTTTTCAGGCAAATGCAAGGAAAAAGTGCATGTAACTGAGATGTATTTCTGATTAAACAAAATATCTGGACCTCATTTTCTATGTGTGAAACACCTGCATCCTACTGAAGGAACTAGCAACATACATACTTGGACCCTGTTTTAAAAGTGCAGTTTTTGTTTGTTAACTAACTGCAGCTGTTAAAGAGTAGTACTGTTAAAGAGGATTGGTGCAGTATGGAAAGTAAGACTCCTGTGCTTGAGTCTGATTTTCCCACCTCTCAAAATAACACTGCCCATCTATTCTTGGTTGTGCAGGTATTCTGCATTTATATTCCAGGTGGAATGACAGATTTATCAATCAAGACTCATTTTATGACTATTCAGCTAATGACGGCTTAAAATTAAGACTAAAATGAAGGAAAATAGGTAAAAAAGTGTTAAAAATTGAAAGTTAAATTTTCTGCAACAAAAGAGCAGCCATGACCAATAATTACTGTATTTTAACAGCTATATTTAGCCTCTGTTTATGTAGCCCTCTTCATTTCACTTTAACATCATGGATTTTATATTTAACAAAAGGAAAAACAAATCCTTATGTTAAGAATTAAAAGAATGAGCAAATCTTCTGGATGCTCTTAAAATGGAGTAATTCATACAGTGAAAGTTTAAACTGTTACGAACTTAAAATTTTCTTTATTCTGATGCTTTCATTGAGAAGCAGAACTGACTTTAGGAGTAAAATGGAATTAGGAGTTAAAATGCAGAATTAGTTCTTTATTACCATATATTTAATGAAAAACTAAAATCTTAGCTGTGAACTGTGTCCTATCTTATAACACAGATGATTGGCAGCTCTGGTCTTCATCAAATGATGCTTAGTATGCCCTCTAAATCTTTGGGTATGTCTCAGCAAGGATTATCTTGGTGCCATTTAAATTTATGTTTACTCTCTGCAGTCCACTTTCAGATATGAGTGGGAATGTTATTGACCCAAATCTAATCTTTTTTTTCTTTTAAATTGTCCTTTTGAAACTGCTTTAATCTTTAAGAAAGGAATTGTAATAATTTGGTAACTATCCCTTAACTCATATATTAAAAGGAAACATATGTACTTAGTTACACATTTTAATTACCTTTCTGATTGGGTGATGAATCCATTTTTTACCAGGCATAAAAACTTTGGAAGGAATTTCTTAATTTTTTATAATTTAAATTTTATGGAAATTTAAATAAAAGTCTGAGTTTTTTTTTTTTTTTTTTTTTTTTTTTAATCTTAGTTTTTGCATTTGTGCAACATGAGCAGGAAATAATGAAATGCCAATTTTGAAACAAGAGTGAGAAAACTGTTTGGAAGTTTCATTTCTTCTGTTTGTTGTTGTTTATGTTGTTACTCTTTATGTTAATCTAGCTGGTTAAGTTTGGAATGGAAATAAGGATTTGGGACTCTGCATCAATTCCTATCCTGTCCTAGTTGGTAAATTAATCCCATGTGCAGTTGGTTGAATAAACATCAAAGCCAAGCGACCTGTATTAAAGTTTGTAACTTTTGATGTTGTACATAACCACATACCAAGCAGAAAAAAGCAGATTGTCATGAATTTAGTATCATAAAATAACCATTATTTTTTTTTAAGGTACTTATAAGGTACAGATATTTTGTAAAATAAATAAAAGTTGTTATTTTAATTTGTTCTTTTTATAAGTCTGATGATAGTTAGGGTGCTAACTTGCTTGCATTTTTGAAGTAATTTACTGGCAATTTGGTGAACAGACTTAGTACAGAGTAATACAGTTATGGAATAAATTATTTATGAAATAAAGGGCATAATCATCCAATATTCAAAATAAAAATATATATTTTGTAATATGGTTATACATTTTATAAGCATATTAACATATACAAGTAATTAAATATTATGAATTTGATTATTAGCTTCATTGTGGAAGCATAATACTATAAAATGAATGTTAGCTGTGTTAAAACCCTAGATTGAGTTTTATCAAAAACTTGATGAAACACAATTCTAACACAGCTGATATGATAAATAATGAGCTTTTTTTAATGAAACTATGAGTACAACATATATCAAAGAATGGTGATGATGTTTCATAGATATCGGCTGGTAGCATCATAAAACATCAGGTAACATCACTTTTATCTGATGTTTTGTTGAGGATGAAACATCAGGCAAAAGTGATGAACATGCAGTTGCACCTTGGAGAAATCTTGAAACAGTCAAGAAAATGCAATGGTTGGTGATAAAAGATTGTCAACTAATAATTAGATTGTGAGTAAATTGAGAATGCCATTTCGTGTGCTGTACTCAGTTTTAGCTTGTTAAATTTTAAATTCAACTGACACTGATTCCTGAAAATATTCTTAATAAAAGGTGAAACATTGGTATGTGGTTATGACTTTCAAGTAAAGGTGGAATCATCTTAATGGAACCAAGGTCTCGGTGACCAAAGCAGGCATAGCTGTAATGGAGATATCTGATTTTTTTAACCACCCAAGGCATAGTTCTTTCTAAGTGTGGTCCTTAAGGGCAAAATGTTAGTAAAGAAAGTCAACTGACCCTTATCCATTACCTTCAAAGTGCTGTTAAGGTGCAGAGACCTCTTTTAGAAAAGTGATGACTAGGAGATCCATTAAGATAGTGTTTTTATCTATGATCTCCAGCTTCCATATTCTTCAGGCATGGCTGCATATAACTTTTGGGTATTTTTTATGTTGAAGATGGCACTAAAAAGATTAGAAGGGCAAAACATATTTAAAACTAATGTGAACAAATCATTTTATGGAAGTCTTACTAAGGTACTAAATGTTTTCAGCAGTGAAAAAACTTCTGTGAGAAGAGTTTCAGTAAAACCAGGGCTTGTTTTAAAATGATCTGCATTTTTTCCATCAGACCTTGCATAGTTAAAAAAAAAAAAAAAAAAAAAAAAAAAAACACTAGCTGTTTTAACACTGGTAAAATGTATAAAAATAAGCTTTCTGTTAAATTACAAGAACATAAAAGAAACAATCTCTGTTCCTTGATTAATTTTACTCATCGCTAAAAATCTTAGAAGTAGTGTATAGTGTTTAAACTTCTGTTAAATTAATCTTTACTAACTATGTTCTATATTTTAGTGAGTTTTTTTATTTTATTTATTTTTTCAAGATTTTAGTACCAACTTCTGGTAAGATAGATTATACAAAGAAAGATAAATCAGAAAAAGAAAATTCACCTGAGGAAAAGGAAAGTAAAATTGATGAAGGTTCTGAAAATATGCCAGATGTTTCTCTAAGTGCTCGCCCTTTAAGTCCAACTACCCCAACTATTCAGGATATGATTCAAACTTCCATGGTTGCTGCTGCTGACAGTGCAGAATTCAGAAGTGAAAAAAGAGATACTTCACCACCAGCTTCTTCACCTGTGAAAACTTCTCCTCCTGATTCACCATCATTAAAATCATCTCCAATTAAAACACCCTCACCTGTAAGGAAGAAAACGTCTTCACCACCAAGGTATATATTTAATTTAATGAGCTATTGTGTTTATTTAATTTAAGCTTTTCTGCAGTTCATTGTTCATAAAAATTAAAATTAATTTTAGATGAAGGTTTTTAAACTGGAAGATTAAAATATCAAAACTTTCTAAATAATGGAAAAGAATTACACACCAAGTAAAACTGAGCTTGAAAAAAATATTGACTGGCCTAAGCTGTATCTAAGTAGGGGTGCTTTTAATGATTCAACCCTACTGCTTTCTTCAGCTGCAACTAAATTGAAGACAAATTCTGCAGATAGAAAGAGAAACTGATTAAATTTTCTAGAAAATTCTTCAGTCTGTTTTTATCTTTGTGGTATATGGTCTTTAACTGCAGCTGAATAAGTCAGTATTGTTGAATCCCTGAAAATGCTCCCATGAAGATAAAATATGTATAAATTAACATTGTTTTTCTTATACTCACTTTCTAAATAATATATTTTTTAATAACATAAAATAAGAAATGTAGAAGACGCCCCATTTATCAGGAAAATTAGCTGAAAACTAACAATCTGAAGATAGAAAGATGTATGTAACCTATACCGTATTTATTTGAATATTTTCCCCTTTCTTTACTAATTTTATTGTATTGGAGGAGAAAATGATGTGAATAATTTAATTTCTGAAGGATGCAGTTTTACATAAAGAACATAAAAAATTAAAAATATTCACGGATAAACTACCAACAACTAAAATTATTATTTATGTGAAAGATTAGTACCAACTTCTGGTAACATAGATATTTTTTTCATCAGACCTTGTATATCCCCCCCCGAAAACTCTAGCTATTATAACATTGGTAAAATGTATAAAAATAAGCTTCCCTATTATTTCTTTATCAATCAGAGCCCAAGAGTCCGAAATTAACAATGAAATCAAATTGATGGAAAGTGTTGATTTTTCCAGTTCTAGTACAGTTGTTTGCAAGAAAACAGCCAGTAAGTGGTTGTTTCAGCAGAGCTAAAAATTATGGCATATAATTTAAAGGAGCTCACTTTCTTAAATGACTTGAGGAAGGAATCAAAGACATGAATATTTTTAAAATTTTCAATCTTGTGCTGAAAACTTAGGGTTTGGGGAATACAGAAGTTAAGTATGGTAATAATAATATATATATATACATGTATATAATTGAAAAAGAAATGTAAAGCTAACTAGTAATGAGACGTAAGACCTATTTGGTCTCAAAAATTTTTGCGCATAATGCTGCAAAAAGATACGAAATAATAGTAGGTAGAAACATTGCGGCGATCTTGCTAAAAAGTTACCAGGAGCTGTAGCTCCACAAAATAGTTCAACTCTGTATTACTAAAATATGAACTAAGAAGAATTTTTTAAAAAAATTTATCTGGAAAAACTGGATAAAAACTGTAAACACGCGAAAGAAACCTGTTAAAATTAATGTTGTAAGACACACACATATAATATATAAATATATATGATTTTATACGTGAAATTACTAAATATATTGTTGCATAGGTCCAATGATTGGTTGATAAAATTTATTTTATCAAAAGAAACATTTCAGAGTTCTGGAACTTTCCACAGAAATACTTGCACAGTTGTTCGCAGTATCACGGAGTACAATCACTAGTTACACTTCAAACTACTAAGAAAATTAAACACAACACAATGCAAACCGCATCTAAAGAGCAAAGCTAACCTGAAGATATCTCATTATTCTGAACTCACACTGATCTAACAACCACAACTGAAGGCAGTTGCTCTCTCCGGCCTTATATAATTTTCACCGCAACCAAGTTATTTGTACTACTTTCTGCTTCTCGAAATTACTGGAACAGAGACCAGACCAAAATGTCTCCAAGTTTGGCGGCCTTTGGCGATTTCTCTCTAACTTTGATGAGAAAAATTAGTCTCCAAAGCATTGCCATCATGGCGGTATCCCGCCAAGTTAGCCAGATAGCTTCAATGTTAAATAGACTTAGCCCTGTATTCTTATTTTTCTGCCCGAGCACCCTTTCTCTAGATTTTCATGTTACATTATGCAGAAAAATATAATTTCACTAAAATTATCCATATATGTACAAAATTGGTAACAATATATATTGGAACCTTGAGAAACAAGTTTAATTTGTTCCAGCATTGAGCTCTTATAGTGAATTTCTCGTATCTAGAAACAAACTTCCCCATTGAGAATAATGAAAATCCAGTTAATTGGTTCTGCACTCTTTAAAATATCAAAATAAAAATCAATTTTCGTAATAAATAACACTGGTAAATAATGTAACCATAGTTTACCTTTGTGAAGAGTCCTGACTGGCAATAGAGATGTGGGGAAGGAGAGTCCCCTTCTGATTCAGGAACACTTTCTCTTTTTTTCTTTTTTTTTTTTTTTTTGAATTCTACCCCCACTAGAAGCAGAATCACTTAACTTTCTTTTAGGTGTAGGTTGCTTTACCAAAAACACTTGCATATGTCTCCTTTTAAGATGCCTTTAAAATGTTGCACTACATTGTCACTACCCAAGTTCATGGTGTGCCCACATACTGCTTTATTAGGGTGATTTTCTTCAAAGTTTTCACTTCTTCCCACTTTGCCGACACTTCTTAAATCTGACTGCAAGAGAGTGCCTCATATCCTGTTCACTCCTCCTGTAATGAAAGCTTTTCTACCACCGCTTGCTGCTGCTAATTGTGAAGTCCTTTAAGTTCGTTTGTTGTAAGTTCTTCACTATGCTCCTCCACTAACTCATCCAGATCAGCACTATCTACGTCCAAACTTCGACTGTCTGCACTGTGTTGTCCACAGTGTAAGGATCGAAACTTAAGTCAAGAATACTTTGAAGCCACAGGTATTTCCATGCTGAATTCAGGGTCCTTACTGAGACTTCTTTGCAAGCTTTATTAATGAGGTTTAAACAATTCAGGATGTTGATGTGATCCTTCCTAAGTTTCCTGAGGGTCAGGCTTGTATTTTCGGCCACTTTAAAACACCTCTGGAAACACGTTTGTCACTTCAAAACATCTTTGAAATTAAACAGCTTCATGTACAGCTTCTTAAATTTGGAAATAACGTGCTGGTCCATAGGCTGGAGAAGTGTAGTGGTGCTAGGAGGAAGAAACTTGACTTTTAGGAACTAAAATTTCTCAATCAAATCATCTTCAAGCCCTGGAGGATATGCGGGAGCATTATCAAGGATGAACAAAGCATTGAGTAGCAACTTATTTTTGTGAAGGTATTTTTTCACTGAGGCACCAAAAACTTCATTGAGCCACTCGGTAAAAAATTGCCATGCTACTCAGGGTTTGCTGTTGGCCAGCCACATCACATTCAGTTGAATTTTCTGCACCTTCTTCCTTTTGAAAACTCGTGGATTTTCTGAGTGGTAGATGAGCAGCGGCTTGATTTTACAATCCTCTTGGTGCAAAACAAGAGGGTAAACCAATCTTCATTGGCTTGTGGCCAGGTAAAGATTTTTTGTTTTGCATGATGTAGGTATTCTTAAGAATTTTCTTCCAGAAAAGACCTGTTTCTTCACAATTAAACACTTACTGAGGAAGAAACCCATCCCTACTAATAAATTGTAGGAACTCTGTCCGTTTCAAACCAATCATGGTTTGCCTTAAATGCCATCTCATCTTCAGTTGACATACCTGGTATTTTTCGGAGAATCTTAACCTTCGTGCAAATGAAAGCTTCCGACACCAAATCTGCCTTTTAACTGTTTCTTGTTAATCCACAACAGCAGCTTCTCAGCATCTCTTTGGAGTTTCGGACAGTGCTTGTAAGTAACAGTAATTCCTTTGGCCCAATCAAGTTCCTTAATTTCTTCCTTCTTCAGAATAGTGCAGATTGTCGATGTCGAACAGCTGTAAGTCTTCGGGAGTTCTATCACTCTTATGTTTATCTATGATTTCTTTCTTAATTTCACTGGCCATAGCTTCCTCCCCTTTCTTTGCAGCACTATCTGAGGCAACAGTCTTCTTGGGAGGCATCGTGAAATAATTATTTTCATGTTAAATGTAAAAAACAATTAATTCAAAAGCACACAAACACGTAGATCCAAGAACACTGAGTGATCTGAGGAGGGGATTCTTCGAGTTCAGCTGGATTGGGAAACATGCTACGGATACTGGCTGGCTCAATGCTCGTATTTAGAGACAAATTTTTCACTCATACTTTCCTTGTATCTCGATTTTCTCGTATAAAGAGGTGCTCGTATCTCGAGGTTCCACTGTATTTTATAAATCTCACTCTGTATGTGTATATGTAGAAAGAGAGAGCTTTTTAACTCTTTTTTTCCCCCCCATCCATTTAAATCCTAAAATAGTATATGCTTATTATAATAAATCTCTACAGATTGCATCATTTAAACATTAATCTTTCTGATATGGTTCTTGTATAATACTAACGATGCTTACATAATGTTTCAGCCAATCCTAGTAAAATTTGAGAACTGAAATCTAAAGTTTTGCTGGTGCTACCAATAGCTGAGTGGTTAATATTGCTGTATCCTGGTAGTTCAACATGGGTTTAGGCCTGGGTTCATGTTTTTCCAAATGTGTAATGTGAATATGAGCCAGCAGGGTTGCCACGCTACCTGGAAAACCGGGAGAACCGGGAAAAGTCATGGAATTCGAAAATTGACCAAAATATTCAGGGAAACGTCAGGGAATTTAAGTATTTTTGTCAAAATCTGGAAAAGTCAGGGAAGTTCATACAACGATCCCGCCAAAAAAAGCGATTTTTGCACCGACGTCGGAAGAGATAACTTTTTTGGCGAATTATGTATCACGTGAGTGTCATTCGGGTAGCTGGCATAGAGCCAATTTTTCGCAGCTCCAATTTGATTGTCTTTTAGAAAGGTAAAGCAAACTTTCCCGCAAGTTTTTTGGTTTCCAGTATTCTCGAGATTCACATGTGCAGTGCATGAATTAAAGAAAGTACCTGTTCTCGTATAAAACAAAATGGGTTTAATCCTAGTATACGGTACCATGGAGGTTAGAATCAAAGAATATGTATTGTAAAGAAGAAAAACCTCTCTGCAACAGCCGTGGCTGTGGCTCCGTTCGATCATAGAGGGAAACAGCTGTGCATGTCTGATATATCTGTCGCCAAAGCTCGAAACCGGTGTCGAAGTTCGAAGGTCACGTTATCAAGAGTTCATAAAATGAATATCGTTTAAAATTTCTTTAAACACTTGCGCTAAAAAGACGTGCCACGCACATCGAGATGCTTTTGTCTCAAACCGCAAGCGACGTGAACACCACGTCGATAAGCATTTATCGCAGAAATGAAAATAATGTGGTGCACACGTCGCCTAACAACGAGATTGTTTATTTCTCGAGTTACAGCTCTGGATTGCACTCGCAGAGTGCGTACGTACGCACGGAGCGGCGTAAATGAGACACTTTACCGCTTGTTATATTGTAGCGCATGGCACCGCAACCGTGAAGTTGTCTTAGCGCAAGTGGTTAAACTCTAAAGGAAAAGAAAATATTTTTTGGTGCAAGTAAATTAATTCATGGATTAGTTATTTTCAGGAAAAAAAAAAAAAAAAAAAAACTACGAAAATCCGTTTTTAAAATTATTGCGAAAAATCCAAGAAGAAACGCCTTTGATAAAACGTTTCTTCTTGGATTTTTCGCAATAATTTAAAAACGGATTTTCGTAGTTTTCTTTTTGTCAAAGAGCGTTTCTTCTTAACACGTGTTTCTCAATTTCCTGTACACATCGCGGAGAGGGAAATTCTGGCCGCCAGGTTCCGTCGCCAAATCCCTTGGCAAATTTTCCCTTCGCATTCTAGCGGCGTAATAGCATTTTACTTGTATGGAACCTTTTCTTCTTTACATAGACGTTCTTTGGTTAGAATAATAATAATAAGATTTGGCGCATCATGATGCGCAGTAAACGAGTCATTTTGGTTTTGGCGACAATTTTCAAAATCGTGCCAAAGCCTTACCGTATACTAGAATTTTACCGCAAAATCTTTTTAAACCTTTTTTTTTTCTTTTTAATAAATACCTTGCCATTTTGAAGTAAAATAAAAAAATAGTAATCAGTCATCTAGGCTAGCCATGTAATATAACTATATTCGCTAAAATATCGTTGATTATTATAATTCAATTTTTAAGTAATTATTTTTATGTTATTCATATAATTTAATGTTGCTTCTTCCCTCTAAATTTATTTATCATTAGTAAATAATATTTCCAAATTTCAGGAAATTTTCTCTGGCATAATCCTGAAATTAATTATAGCAGTATGATGACATACCATCACGAAATTTAATGCACATATTTTTTCCTTATGTATGCTGCGAAATTAATATAAAATACCTCAATTTATTAAAATAGATTTCTTTCTTTCGTTTAGCTGCAGAATGTCTGCAAAAAAAGCCTTATTTTATTCCAGATTGGGAAGATTCTAATCTCAATCTTCAGTGGAGAAAACAAAAACTATTATAATTATATTTGTGTTTTCAAGTGTTAAGGTGCCTTTTAAGAAACATACCTCACGCAAATTAAATTTACCTAAAATCTAACCTAACTATTTAGCATAGCGTTGTGATTTATAAGGACCGGATTTAGCCTCGTGTTTGAAACTGGTGATGATCATGGTATTAATTAAATAAAAAACGTACATTTGTTATCCAATGTATATATCTTAAATTTTATTAAGTTTCTTAAGTGGAAAACTAAAAAAATTATCAAAGTATACCAAGAATAATTAAGAATAAATGTCCTCTGGGATTTATTGAATAATTAAGTGAATTTGCTACACAATACAAGTAATACCATAATTAATTTACCTCTTAGCACAGCCAACGTACATTATGCGGATAGACTGGAATTTTCTTGAAACACACCTGGAAAACCTGGAAAAGTCAGGGAATTTCATTCTTCTGTTTGAGTGGCAACCCTGAGCCAGTTTTGCAGGTGGCTCTCATGGGCTTTGACATATTTATATAACTTAACCTAAATTTAACTAACGAAAAGAAAGGTTGAGGTACGATTTTTATCAAGCCTTTATCTGAAAATTATACTTTCTCTTGCTTTGTGTTATGTTGCTACTTACTTTTCATCAAATTTATCATTGTAAAAATGTTTATAAAAATGTAACAATGTAAAAAATGTATAAATGTAACTGACCAAGAACGAGCACACAAATTGTGTCAATTTAGTTTTGTTTCTATCAAAAATGTTATACAAGAATAAAAGATTGCTCAACTGTCAATGATGACTGTAACTAACTGTATGAACTTTGTTTTTCAATCCATAATCATGTAGCTATGCTATCCACCATCAGGGGGAAAAAATATTTCTGTATATATATATATATAATTACAAAACAATTAAAAAATAGAATATAATCGAAAAATGGTTTCTAAATTTCTTACTTTGTCTTGTATATATTTGGATAATGTTATTTCAAGTTTTAACATACATTCTGTTGTTCATTTGAGACATATATGGCTGAGGATTAATACATTGAGCTTTTGAATCCTAAAAAAAAAAAGAGCTCATTTCAGAGAGATATTGTCGTCAAATGGACCACTGGAAATGCAGTCAAAGAAAAGAGCCCAATGATGTTCAGTAGGAAACACATCTTACTGCATCATGCCATACCATATGTTGCTTTGGTGACTCATCTGAAAATCTCAGAACTAGACTGAGAAATTCTGATACATCTACCATACTTCCTAGACATAGCACTCTCTAATTATCATTTTTTTCTCTCCTTACAAAATTTTTTGAAGGGAAAAAATTCAAAAATGAAACAGATGTTAGCCAAGCACTACTTGAGTTCTTCGCCTATAAGGACTAGTCATTTTCTAAAATGATATCTACAAATTGCCATCTCACTGGCAAGAGGTTGTAAGTAACGATGGAAATTGTATTGCCAATAAATATAATTAAAAGTATGAAAAATGCATTTTTTCACTTCCGAAATGGACATAATTTTCCCGTTGGACCTAATGTGTATGTAAGATAAAAAATATGTAAATCTATTAACTTATTAGCCCCTTAATTCTTCATTTTAATTTGGGTATTTCATTTCTGTGTTTTAAAAATAGTAATTGTTTCTAATAAATATTTCTGGACTATGTCATTTCTAGATTAGTGTATATCATATGACTTTTACATTATACTGGTGACATAAAGGGGACTGAAACTCAAACAGCCAACAGTAATTTTGGAGCATTATTAATTATCCAGTCAAATGCATTGAAACCGAAACTAACCCATTCCAAATTAATATTTCATCCTGAACACTAGGCACTTTGCTTCTGCTCCTCAACCAAATAGACTATTGCTTGCTACTTCTGTTCTTAAGCTTTTAAAAATATAAATGTTTTGAAATAGACATGATTAGAGTGCCAAGTTATTTGTGGCCTCAAATGTCAGTTGAAATAAAAATGAATCTGCCTTGGCTGCTAAGTTTGCTGTTCATTAAGCATCAACATCTATGCAATCAATATTTCTACGTAATATATAGATAGATATGTACAAAATATATATGTATTTTTTTTTCAAGTTTTGAGCATGTCTTATGGTTTGAAACTCCTAGCTGGGCGAACAGTATACTGAATGATATTCTTTGTTTCTTTTTAGCATTAGTGGGGATAGCATTAAAAGTAACAGAAGTGCTCGGAGTAATTCAGGGATTACAAAGATTCAGCTGACAATAAGATACAGCATTCCAAGAAATAAACTTGTTGTGGTTGTTCATAAGGCAAAGTAAATATTTATTTGTTTGAATCTGACTTTTATGTGCTTTTTTTTTTAATTTACAATTAGTAGCGATTGATAATTTTTCTGTTTTTCTTATTAAATTAGTTCACTGTATATAGTTTTGGAAGAATTACTGCCATTTAGTTTGTATCGTATAGATAAAATATTACATATTAACCCAATCACCTCAGTAAAAGTTGCCAGATTTTAAGAATATGTCAACCTCAAGCAACCAACCACATAATGATTCTTCAGTCTAGCATTGTTGCCATTTTTCATATTTTTTTACTTCTGATTTCTAACAGCTTTTGTAAAGATAAGTCTTGATATTTCTTGCTTTTAAACTCAATTCTAAAACGTGAAATTTGCCAGCAGTGAATGAAACTGTGGTAAAATTCCTGCAGGAATACAATTTTGCCATGATTACTTTGAATCTGATGTTTAAGTGATCACCACAAAATTCCAATTTAAAAAAAAAAAAAAAAAAAAAAAATGCTTGTTATGTAGGTTTATTGATTGATTTTTTCCCACTTAAATACGTAATAAGAATATAAAGTATGTATATTACCATATGTAGATATGTTTTAATTATGAGGTTTTTTTTTTTTTTTTTTTTTTCCCCTTCTGTAAACACTGAATTGCATCAAGGTGGTTTTACTAATACCTGAGTATTGTTAAAATTATGAAAGGTGGCATAAAATTAATTTGTAGGGAAGAAAATTAAAAAGGCTAACAATATGTAACTACTTGAATGGTATCAATAGAACTATTTCTGAAGTATTAGTCTTTAAGCTGAATATCTTTAACATAAAAATATACAGTGGCTATGTGTATGAATTCATGAAAGCTGCCTACTCATACGGATTGTTAGTATTATTCACCAAATTACTTCTGTACTAACTCCTGAAAATGTTTTTTTAACAGCTAGTTTAAACCTCAGAAAGATTGCAAAAGTTGTAATAGACTGTTATCAAAAATTATCTTTACATACATAATACATACAAATTGCTCAAAAACTGTTGAATGAAATTAAGTAAGTTTTTTGCATGTGATGCTGAGCGTCATAATACACAAACAAAGACTGAATAATTGCATATTTTTGTTTATGGTGCTAAAATGTTATTTTTTAAAAAAATCTGAAAGGGTTGAAATTTTAAATTATATCCAAAGGGGCGCTTTTTTAACATTTTGTGTGTCACCTTTATTTATTAAATATGGTGTTTTACGTTCTCAAACCATAAAATTCAGTTCAACAGCAACATCACAAAATAATTTTATAATGAGCATATCTTTAGAATTTCCGATAAAGAGTTCCACCCGCTGGAGATAAAAATGTTTTTTATTTTCGTATGGTGTTACCATTGCTCGCTTTGAAACTGTTTAGTTTGTTAATCAAAAATTCGTTGGAAGTGTTACGAAATATGAAATGGATTATAAAACAAATTTCAAATTCAAATGAAGGCTTCCACATGCCCATATTCTATGGTAAATTATGTTATTCAAATTTTGATGGCTGTAGATACCGTTGTTTATCACAGTGCGAAAAACATACATACATTCATGCAGATTCCTTCATTATTTAATTTCTTTAAATATAATACAGGACGATAACATTTTGGTGGCAACAATTTGAAAAGTGAAACAAAACTTATCGTGAATTCACGCAAAATGTCAACACGAAATTAATAGCCCTTCAGGGCAAATTGCCCCTTTGGACTAAAAATTGAAGAATTATAACAAAATTTAAAGAAAAGTAGGCGTATCAAAAACAGATGCAGACTTTTTTTCACAGGAAATGTGATTATTTAAAATTGATGCCTGCTTAACACAATATTTGATGCTTACTAAGAAAGTTAATTTGAATTTGGGGGTATAAAAGTGTGCACTCATCTGGTAATGAACTTGAAAATATTGAAATGTGTAAGGGGAAAATTTTCATGTGCAAAGCTTTTCCAGGATGGGCCCATAAGTTTTATGTGAGATTCAGATAGATATTACTGGCCAGTTTGCTGAATGAATTTCTTTGGTTTCAATAAATTCGTAGATGAGGTTTGCTGAACGTTGGATGCACATTATCATCAGTGAAAATAAAATCAGATCAACATGTCCTGAAATGTTTGCTGAAACACCTAATACAAGTGTGCAGTATTTCATCCTGATATCTATGGGCATATACAGATCATCAGTCAAATATATGCCATTTGAGTATATGTTTTGATCATTACTCTTTCTCATGTAATTTGATTTTCCCTAGCACTGGCTGTTGACAATATGCCATTCGTGATCTAGGTGCTGTGTAATTGGCTTCCACATAATGTCTGAGGAAAGTTTGACTGTAGATTCATTCAGAAACAGTTCCTGTACAATCTTAATATGTAGCTTGTCCGTTAATTTATTTTTTGAGAACTTTTTGTAGACTTCCAGATTAAAATTTCATTTTGCCTTTTTTTATATTTAGGTTTTAAACAATATATTCTGAACCGCATTTTATGTTGTGCTTAATCTGTATTCTGTTAACTGTCAAGATACAAAGCAGTGGATATCAATTACCCAGTTGAACAGCGGCTACTGATTAAAATTTATTGCCTTTAAGTTTAGAAGGAATAATGCTGTTAGAAATATATAAAGATGCCCATTGCAATGTTTGTACCAGTTTTACTGTAAACAATGGTTCAGGTGAAATATCCTGTTCAATAAATAGACTTGCTAACACATGCAATGAAGTCTGTTTTTCTAACTGTTTACAGCAAGGTGTACATTTATTCTCACATGAGAATATGTTCGTTCTTTTAGCTCAACTCAGACACTGTGATAAATCATTTTGTACTGACTATTCAATCTGATGGGGGTTTCAACACCTGATTACTTGAGTAACGGAGGTAGCAAAAGTTATTTGTTAAACCATTTTCTGTAATTTAAGAATGTATACAAAATGTTTTTGTAATTAATCAAGCTGGTCATACATTAATATCAGAAACCATAATAAAAGGTTCTGCTGTCCGAAATCACGTCTACTATTGAAATCATATTTTTATAAAAGGTAATGTAATCTGTTAATTAAGGCAAAGACTTGTAGATACCATTGTGGCATGGTGCAGATCTTCATTGTTCATATCACATTAAATATTCTCACTGCATTCATCAAGAATTTTAATCAGACATAGTGCACAATAAAAATTTATCTTTATTTCAAGGTTTCAGGTATGCATACTACTCCTCGATAGCCATTCTCTGTTCTCTGTCTGTGTTTCTCCAAACTTCTTCTTAGGGTTTCCATATTTATCAGCAGTGTGGGCACAAGGCCTGCATACTCCTTGTTGCTAGCACCACAGAGTCCCCCCTAGTTCCTTTGATGGCTACTCGAAGGAACGATATCAGATTATCAAATATTTCAGCAGATCCTTGCTGTCAAGTTTTCTCCCTCCTTAACCCTTTCAAGATAGCGTGCCTTTGTTTAAGATCTTTCATGGGACGTATGGAAGTTGAAAGGAATCATCCCATAGGATGGTGGTTTTGCATCGCTAAGCCTTATAGGAAAACACACACAAAAATTTTGAGTCCTAAAGTCATAATTTTAGATTATTAGTTAAGCTATCATGTATGTTAAAATGAGCATTTAATAATAATTTTCCTTTACTTAACATGACAATATGTGAAACAAATTGCTTATTTTGAGAAATAATTTCCAGAAGCACTATTCAAATTATTCCCAAGTTTTAATTGACAAAATACATTAATAAACATAAAAATTAATTTTTAAAATGCAAGAAAGGTTATTTACAAGAAGAGATAACAGAATCTTTCACGGGAAGTATAAGGCTGACACTCAGTGAGCTCAGTCTGATAAAATATCCATGTGAGAATCACTAAAAATATTGCTCTCTAACTCTTTAGAAAATGAATCATCACTCTCATCCAGCCCACCAGCGGCCGAGCGGTAAAGTTGCTGAACACTGGTAGTTCGGTCCGAGGTTCGAATCCCGCGAACGGGCTGGCTGCATGGGTGTTTTCGTGGTTTTCCCCATGTGTAACGTGTATACGAGCCAGTTTCCCTTAGAAAGTCCTCCACGAAGGCATCCCTCCCCTTAGGCAGATAGCCCTAGTGTGCTTTGCCATAATTAAATACACCAACACCATCACTCTCATCCATGTCATTAATTGGCTTATTTACCATGAGACTATATTCTTCCTCTGATAAATAAGGCTTTTTTGCTATAATAAAATGACATCAGGCTTTTGGAAATAAAAAGAGAAGCATGCGAAATAAAAGCAATGCAAAGTGTATTACAACTCCACGTAGTAACCCTAAAAGACCCTACATAGTAGTAGAATAAAGAAAGAATTCGAAGGGATATCTTAAATGTGAATGTTTATATCATGTGGTGAATTAAAGAGACAAGCTGTGTTTGTTTACATTAGGCTTTGCTTCCTTCCCTGCAACACCTGACAGCAATGTTATGCAGAATGTGATCAAACTCAAGATTCAGAATCCTAAAACTGTATTCAGTTCAAAAGTAATGGGCACAGGATGCCATCTAGTGGTCTTTCAAACATGTTTCAGCTTAAAATGTGTATATGCATCACCCGTCCCTTGCGTTAGCTGTCCAATGATGCATGGGTGGGACACCTGGCTGTGAGAGATGTACATAGGGAATATGTATATGGTACGCCCTTCCTGAAAGGTTTAATGACAAAACAAGGATATAACTTTAGAAGAAGATAAAATGTGATTCAACATATGATAAGATTATAATGCACATATATAAAAATGAAATAACATAAGCTCATTTGGGAAGTGAATATGTCTTCCCGATCTTGTGACAGTTTGTTTCCTAGAGAGTTCGGTAACAGATTTACTATGTTGAACATCTTTAACCCTCTGACTGCTCAATTTGTAGACCGAAATTGCTTCAAAAATTGTGCAATTTTTTTTTTCATATATTAAATCAATATATATTGGAGAAATGAAAAATGCATTTTTTCTTTCTAGAAAATATTTTTTATAT